GCTAATTGCTGCTCCAGCCCGCTACTTGAAGAACAGAGAGCTCTGCTTTGCTTTGGGCTTTTTTTTCCCCCCTTTAAGGTTTAGCTGCAGGCCTGGTGGATAACATGCAAATCAGGGCTTTCATTTGCGTACTTTATTCGTGGTGGTATTATGGTTCCCTTTGAATCCGCACTGTCCCTGTGGGTGCCAGCCAGCCCCTGCCCTTCCTCCAGTAGCAGGTCCCCTATCTCTGCCGAGCTGTCCTGGGCCTGGGGCCAGGCGCGTTTGCTGTGGCAGCCTGCTGCGCCAAGGGGGACGAGGGGTACCAAACCCGTCCCTGGGCTCTGGGAGGGAAGGAGAGCTGGGCTCGTGCCTCGTGGAGGAGGATGCCATGGGTCCCTGGCAGAGCCAGCAGCAGAACCTAGAGGGGCGATGGCCGAGCCCGCTGCCCCCCATGGGCTCCCTGGGAGACGATCCCTGAAGTGGCTGCTGCTCCCGTGCACCGTTCTCCTCCCTGCCCCTCCTGCCCCGAGGGTGTATGTCCGCCGCGGAGCCCGGCAGCGGCTGGGCTGCATGGTGGCTCCGGGAGGGACCGGGCTGCAGCAGGCTGGGCTGGGTACCGGCGCCGTGTCCTCATTCTCTCCTCCCCTCTCCCTGCCAGGTTTGCACGTCTTCGCCATCGCCTTCGCCTTGGAGGTGTCGGTGGGGAAGACCAACACTGTGATGGCTCTGAATAACTCCAATGTCCTGCTGCCCTGCACCTTCACCACCTGCATAGGCTTTCAGGACCTGGTCTTCACATGGTATTTCAACTCGACAGAGATGGTGGGTGGCTCTCTGGGCTTCGCCTCTGTTTTCCTGGCAGGTCCTCTTGTACTTTCCCTCTGCCGATCAGCACCGCAGTTCTCACAGGGTTCCCTCTCTCCCTTGCAGGATGCCCTCCCTCCTAGTATCTCCAGCTCTGGTGGGATGGGGTGGTGCAGAGAGGGTGACTCAAATACCCTGGCACATCTCTGCTCTTGGCACAAAGCGGTTCTGGATTTTCTGCTGCCCATGGACTTGTTTCTTTTCGTAAATTGGTCATAAATTGGCTGTTCAGGTGCAAAGCTGCACTTTGGGCAAAATACAGTTAGTTTTCTCCTCCTGCACTTGCTCTGAAATACTGGAGGTATAGTTTTGCTTCCTGCTGGGCATATTCTGCTCCTCGACTCCATAGCAGGCGGGCTGGTTTAGGGCAGGTCTGTCCTCGCAGGCTGGCCAGCCCTGGGTGGCCCTAGAGCAAAGGGACTCTCTTTGCCCTGGGGTTCTCCCATCTTTTGCGTGGTCTGTACCAGGGCAAGTCAGGCTGACCGGTTGCTTCCCCAGCGGGCCGTGTGTCAGGTCAAAATTCCTGCTCTCGTGGGGTGTGCCGGGACACTTGACCATGTGTATCTGTGCGTGCAGAGGTGGGGCCAGGCACCAGCAGGAGAAGTCGACCCTTTCCCTTGCCTGGGGTTGTCGGGAGCCCTGCCGACCCCACGTCCTGCCTCTCTGCCTCTGCAGATTTACCATGGCAAGATAAAGAGCAAAGCCTCGGAGCCCTTCCTGGTGGGACGCAACCCACGGGTCGAGTTCGTCGGCTCGACGACTGGGAAGGACAACAACATCTCCATCGTCCTGAAGAACGTGGAGTTCAGTGATGCTGGGAAATACACCTGCCACGTCAAGAACCCCAAGGAGAAGCACATGGAGCACAACGCCACCATCTTTCTCACGGTGGTCCAGAAGAGTAAGTGCCGGCCGCGGGGCAGTGGGGATGCAAACCCGGGCTGCCCCCACCTTGACTCAGGGTTGTGGCGGTGCATGGGGTGTCCTGGCTTCTTGGAGGTGTTGGGCATGGTTTGGCCTCGTGCCCCTCTGTGCTGCGGGCTGGTGGAGGGGGTCGCTGCTTTTTGGGGGGGGCTGTGCAGCTGGGAGCTCCCTGCTCCCCCCCGAGCCCCCTCAGCACCTTCTCTCCTGCAGTGGTGGAGGCAGACAACACTGTGACGCTCATCATCGTGGGTGTTGTGGGGGGGCTTATCGGCCTCCTCATCCTCTTCATGCTCATCAAGAGGGTTGTCCTGTTCATCATCAAGAAGACGCAGGATGGGAAGTGAGTCCGGGTGCCGGTCCTGGCACCGTCGGGGGGTGCTGCCGTGGGGCAGGGCTGCAGGGGGCCGGGGGCTCGTCAGGGAACGACAACACCGAGAACGGCCTGGCCGGCTCCAAGGCAGAACAAAAAGCACCACCAAAGGCATGAAGCAGCAGCGCCCCGAGCCCTGCCCGGCCGCAGGGGGGTGGGCAGGGGGACAAGCCTTTCCCTTTTGTTTTCTTTCCAAACTGCCAACGCTTGAGACATGTTTCTATTACACACGTGCCTGCAACCTGCACTGCTTCTCAGAAAAGACTTCGGCTGCCGTGGGGACTGGGAGCTTCTTGCGGACTCGGACTGGGACGCTGCTGGGACAGGGGGAGCCGCCTGCTCCACTCTGAGCGAAGGCAAGAGGGGGCTGGGCGGGCAGGGAAGGGGC